TCCTAGCAGCATCCCATCATTAAATTATATATTGAAATATAAATAGTTATATATTTCCTAAAAAAATCTAACATTTTTATTTTACAATAGATATTTAGTTTGTTTTAATTAAATACATTTAAGTTTTTAATTTGAATATAGCGCGTTTTAAATAAAAAGTAATCAAGCAACGTTGCCTTTTAAATGTAATGTAATTTAAATTGTTAATGTTAATTAGGATTTGACTGCACATAAAAAATAAATAGTAAATGTAGCTAGAATAGTTATTAATAATATTTTAATCGAAACCAAATAATATTCTTCAATAAGTAAAATTAAAATAGAGAATAGTGTTCAACTTGGCAATCATGAATGACGCCATTTATTTTTGGATTTGCCAGACTAAGGTGTCGTTTTTTAATTCGGTATTTTCATTCACATTTAAACTAGAACGGTTGTTTTAAAATACAATTGTTATTTGCTAATTAAATACGTAACCGTCTAGAAAACTGTGTAAAGTTTCTAAAATAATGGGTGTTCAAATCGAAAGCATTTCTCCTGGAGATGGTGAGTGCCCATAAAAGTACAAACTCGTGCTTTTTTCATTACTTAATGTATCTTAATTGTTTTAGCATTTAATCTTTAATTAATTCGTAGTTAGACTTTAATTTTTTTCGTAGGACAAACTTTTCCAAAAACCGGCCAAACAGTTGTCGTTCATTACACAGGAACACTAGAAAATGGAAAGAAGTTTGATTCTTCAAGAGACCGAGGTACCCCTTTTAAATTTCATATTGGCAAAGGAGAAGTAATAAAAGGATGGGATGAAGGAGTTGCACAGGTTTGTATTAACAACAAATGGCTTCATTCTCAAGTAACTAACTTTAACACNCCATATTATATTTATTTATTTATAATACTATCCTTGAATTGCCATTTAACCTACAACATTCGTACAACAAATTCTATTAATTCAAACCTTATTAATGAATTTTTAATTTTATATTCTCACAAGGACAATTAACATTGATTACAATAAGTAGTTTTATGTAACATTTATTACACCCGATTATGTAAAATTTGTAGTAAAAGCTAATTAAAGATAAAATATCTTCAAAATCAATGCAAAACTGTAAAATTATCTTCTCGAAAGTAGCAAAAAAGAGACTCTCCGGCCGGGAATCGAACCCGGGTCTCCCGCGTGACAGGCGGGGATACTGACCACTATACTACCGAAGACTCGATGCTAAACTTCCCATTTATGTAAAGTTTTATTGTTCCGCAATTCCTATTTATTTAAAAATCATAAAGTTTAAAATTTACTAAAAAGTAAACTCTCCGGCCGGGAATCGAACCCGGGTCTCCCGCGTGACAGGCGGGGATACTGACCACTATACTACCGAAGACTTATTGGTAGTTTAATATTTTTTAGGAAACGAAGACTACTCTGGAGAAGTCCATCAGTTGGTCAATGGAATCATCACACCCGGAAAGGTCAGGTTTGCAATAAGATCCCTTACTCCTTTTAAATCACCAAAATCTAATGATAAGTATCCGGTCCTGTTCCAAATAGTCATCCCTACGAACCGCGGGAGATATAGATAATTAAAAAAACAATCTGACAATTGGCATTAGTTCTTCCTGTCGTTTCTATGATGAGGAAATGGAATGAGCAGCGAAGTATTCTTAGATCTGGGGAGTTGAAGGTGACTGCTATAGGAAGACTTCCGTGGGCTTGAGAGAAGTCCATCAGTTGGCCAATGGGATTATCACACCCGAAGAGGTCAACTGTGCGATCACAAGATCCATTAGTCCTTTTACATCAACAAGGACTAATGATACTTATATCCGGTCCTGCTCCAAAGGACAAACGTCATCCCTATGAACCACGGGAAAGATGCGTTATAACAGAAACGAACTAACAGTGAACATCAGTTCTTCCTGTCGTTTCTGTGATGAGTAAATGGGAAGTGCTGTCTACATTCTCAGTCCCTACGTAGGCGCCATTTTTTTGGCTTCCCCTACCTACAAGCAAAATACGTCACCGCTCGTGATTCCCAAAAGATACTCTCCCTTTGGGAGGCTTCCAAAGAGGTAAAAACATAACGATAATAATAGAAATAAATTGCGACATTCAAGCATTTGGAATACATTACAGTTCTTCTAAACCTTAGTGTACCTTTCATTTGATACCACTCGCAAAATCGTCGTCTATAGGAACTCGACCTTTTTCCCGCAAGAAAAGAGTAGAATTTTGATAGGATGTATGGTTTTCTGGGGTAACTCACGATCGGTAGAAACTTCAAGAACATTGGAAAATAAAACTCTCCGACAACGTCAGATTCATTCTTTTTTCTTCGAGAGCTTTCCGATGATATATGGTTTGTTAGGATAACTCACAATCGGTAGAAGCTTCCATAAAATTGACCGATGGATTGTTCTAGAATGCCTTATGGAATTCTCCAAAACCTCCTCTTTCCATCTGCTTCAATCCTTTGCCTTTTTCAATCTTCTTTTTTCTTCAATCCTCTATCATCTTCAATCTCACACCTGGCACCAAAAGTCGCGAAGTATAGCTCCTTTAGCAATTATTTATTTTTTTAATTAATCTTCAAATCTTCAGTCGAGTAACTAAAATTGTTCCTCTTCCGAAAGAAGAAACTCAAGGGTGTTTCACTTCCACCAGCTACTAATGCTGATGAACGGGCAATCCCTATGGACTATGCCAGAGGGTAGAACAGAAGAACCTCTTCCGCTTCCTTTTAGGAATCGTGGGAATAGATGGGTAATGATTGAGGTGAGAAAGATGAGATGCAGACACAGGGGAATTGATTCAAGGAAACCACAGAAATATTTTGACCAGAGTCGAATCGGCATCCCCCCGAATGCTAAGTAATAGTCTAAACTTGCTTAGCCCTGGTCCAAATTTTTCTGTGGTTTCCTTAGGTTACTTAAGCAATTAGAAAGATTCCAACCAAAATTAGGAAAATTCTGGCCTTCTTTGTCATCCTGTTGTAAGCTAGACAACCCACTTAGGTCAACTGTGACATTCCTTCACGTATGATGGGTTGTCTACACATTAAAATAACTAGCAGCTAAATGCAAAGAGATTTTTATAAATTCAACATTTATAAGTACATTTAAAAGATAGACGTCCTAACAAACGAATGAATGATTAATTTCGTATACCAGTAAGAAAATAAAACAAAAACACATAGCTAATAGCTACGCTCACGTACGTGTGCGAAGAGTTGTAATATCCAACACTTATTTACTAGTTCACTAAAGTTGGATAAAGTTTTTTCCTCTTCGTACATTTTGCTGTAATCTCCTCCTCTTTCTTTCCCTTCTTGTAATTTATTCTCTTGTTCAGACGGTAAATATATTGTACTGTAAAAGCAGCGCTCGTATACCTTTGCCGCAAAATACAACATGTAAAAATTATTAGCTACTGCAATATCTGTGCATTGTTTATTAGCTTACTTTACCGCAAAACAAATTCTTGTCATGGTTAAAAAGCAAAATGGTTTAATATTTTAAGTTATTAATGGATTAATAAGTTTGTTAATGTTTTCTAAAACTAGGATGTTTTGCAGTTCTTTTTAATTTAATTATAATTAATAAATACATAGATGATCATAAACATCATTATATACTCCTAAATAGTTTTTGTTTATGAGGCAGTGTTTATTATATTATACTTTATTATACCATATTATATTTATTT